GCTTAGGGTGTTGGGCGCAAGAAGTGTCGCAAGCGAAGAACAGGTTCTGCTCTTAATCATCGGGTTAAGAGTCAAGACTGCAGATGAGCTGCGCTGTACACGCCTTACAACACTCACTGCTTTATATTCTTTCATCCTAAAAACACCTCTTTTCTTCTTCAACTTAAGGCTCCTGTGATTTGTGTAGTTTTAGCATCCTGTTTGTAAATGAGACCATCAGGCTTGGCTTAAAAACCTGCTCCACTTAAACCTATTAGGTAAACCAAGTGTACACTATTAATACACCTCTTGCTTGTATGAAGTTGATTAATTCACAGGAAACAAAAAATTAAAGATTTAAACTAAAGAAAAATTGTGTGTAAAACATTGCAAACTCAAACCATTGATAATATTGTGACAGTGTAGGCAATGGCCATTTACAGTACACATAACCCTTTTTCAAACAGTGTTTTTCTGTGTCTGATTATCACTGTGACCCTGAGCTTCCAGGACACACTACTTCAGTAGTCATAATAATTATACCAAAATATAGTTGATTCATCAGCAGGTAAGGTTGAATGACAGTTGGACTATCCCATCTTATTAAACTGGATATCAAAATTTGCCTTTTACAATATAGTCTTAGTGACATTTCAGAATCAGGCGTTTAATGCGGTTACAGTGCACAGATGTTAAAGTGTGTGTTTTCTTCTGCCGCCCATATAAAGTCAGTGGAAGGCGAGTGGTCAGGCTCTGTGACATTATTCTAACACACAACTGGGGTCTGGCTGGCTGGGACTCTTCCTGCCTTTCCCACTGCTGTCCAGGGGGGCTCATCTGCTGTCTGCAGAGTTCCTCGTCGCTTTCTGCCCGACCGCTCCCCCCTGGCTGCATCCTCCGCCGCCTGCCTCTTCCCAAGCAGGACCTCTGGAGCCAGGCTGCCTGCCTTTTAGAGATGGTGCTCTTAACACACACACGATTGGCAGCCCATTTGCAGATGAAACAGTTTGTCAGTGCGGGAAGCTAGGAATTTCCCCCCAATGTCACATTCCTTATTTGACCAATCCTGACTCGACCCCGGTGGAGCGCTCGGACCATTTCTCTGACCAGGCGGGTTCTGGTTACAGCCGCTGGGCCCACCTGCAGGGAGGCGCAGGAGCTAGTTCAGATACAGTGACGTCAGCGCCCTCCCTGCGCGCAGCAGGGACCTCAGCCGCCTGGGCTGGGGGAGGTCTCCTTGAGCTCGCTCGCCTGGCTCCCTGTTGCGTTACGCCGGAGACCCGGGCTCGCGCCCAGGTGTGGCGGGACGAACCGGCGGAGGGCACGAGCCCGCACGGAACCGCGACGGTCACAGAAGCAGCAGTCGTGTTGTGAACATTAGACAGTGGCTGTCTCGTGAACAAAGCCCTGAACGGAGTGTGTGTTGGCCACACTGCAGATTGAACTGAACTTGAACTTTATTGCCATATGTAACCGGTACTGGCACAATGGAATTCTTACTGACAGAAAGTCTCTCGATTGTAAAACAAGTGTAAAAA